AGATTAAGATATATAAATATAAAGTGGAAAATGTTTCCCGGAGGGAAATCGATTGCAACACGCTCGACGAATATAATACCGCAAGTTCAAGTCCACTGCCGCCGCTAGATTCCGTGCCTTCATAAATTTTCTCTCTTCCGCTTTGCCAAAGAGAGAGCATTGCCAACTCCGCTCCGAAATATTAGAAAAGTATGCTTCACTTCGGAGAGATCGAGTCCGGTGAAAATTCGTCTACCTTTATCGTGTATTCGGTGTAGCAGGATCTACGATACGCGGAAAAAATTGGAGCGAGGAGGGGGGGAGGGAGGAGGGGGGGGGAGAGGGTAGACGTCAAGGGAGACAACAAACGGAGTACGTTTTGAAATACGGTATACACTTCGTTACGCTAGCTTCGTTGTGCATCGCGTACGTGCGTCGTGCCGTAAATGCAGTCGAAGAGGAACCGAGACAGAAGCGGAGGGAAGAGGAGAGGAGACGACCGAGGGAGACGAGGAGGGCCCCGATGTCGTCGTCAGCAACGAGCGCGCCGCGCGAAAGAGACCTTGACGGCCCGAAGAGCGCTACCATTTTCGCGGGGCGTAGTTGCGAATTGACACAGGTGTGGACCGATCGTGCAGTGCCATAAGCCACGCGGGGAAATCTGCGAGTGTACACGGTGCGAGTACAGGGTGCGGCGCGAAAGGGCGTTTTCAGGGACGTTTTCACACCGGGTGAAAGAAAAGGCCGAAGGTGCGGGCAGAATTTCGATATGGTCGCAGAATCGATCTCGCATTTGTGGGAAAAATTCTAATCCGATTTGATCGCGACGGCGATACGCAGAGATGTTTCATTGCAAAATGTTGAACCGCGTTATATCAAATATCAGATGCAAAATGCTTAGATATGATGTCTTTTATATCACAAAAGGTTTTCTTCTATTCTTAAATTTATTTTTAGAATTGTATATGATAACATAATAATCTTTAGAAGTGTTGATTATCCAAAGTTCTTCGATCAGCACAGTTCAATTGACGATGATTGACGGAAGTGATTATCATTATTAAAGGTAAAGACAACGCACAGTCACATTTGACATTAAAACATTTTAAATTATTAAAAAAAGGTAGATCATTTTTTTTTAAATAAAATTTGTACTTTAAATAAAATTTTTATTTTTTATGTAAATATGTATATTCTTTTATATGAATCTTGGATACATGGATACATAGAGAAGTATTCAGGCGAATGTGGATGTCTCCACATCTCCTTTTTCCCATCGGACCTCACGAACAAAAATTCACTGTCAGCCATCCCCACTCGATCACATTGCGAATTATGCGTCACTCTGTATCACGCGTCTAGTTTTATGCCAAACTAGAGTGCGCCGTGCTAAAGATAGGTCGTTGCAGGCAGGAATCGGTGTGCATCCACTACCGGCGCAGGGAACAAGGGCGACCTTGGCCTTACGAGCTTATATAATGAGGAAGCGACCGATTTGCTAGCTCAGTCGTTTCGACCTATAAACGCGACGCGCGAGCTGATCGTAATCTGCCAGACAGAATGCATTTTCGAATGCATTTCTCCTTCTCTCGTCTCATCAATTTTTATATCCATTCCGACGCGAAACGTTATTAAAACGCTTTCCGTGCCTTTTACACGGAGGACAAATCACGTCCGATGCGTTAAAACGTACACGCATTTTCCACAACGACGCAAAAGCATTTGTTTTTTTTTTTTTTTGCTCAAACGATTGTAATTAGAACAATCTTCCGCGCGGGTTCAAGCCGACTAAGTTAAAAACGCTCGCGTGCGTTTTTTCCCGCGGGATTAATTTTTTTTTATCTCCTCGCGATCCGGAGGTCGCTCCACGACATTGGAAACTTCCACGAGATCGTTACTGAAAATGCGAGCGACGCCGATCGCGCGAGATGGTAACGCGATCGGAAAAGTATAAGTCCCATTAAAGGAGCGCGCGCGCCGCGCCGACTGATCGACTAGCCGTGGCGGCCGCGGTGGGGATCTCTCACCGCCGTGGAAAATCAACGTCTCTTCTTGGCAGAAACGAAGTAGCCCGTGGGTGGCGGCGGCACGACAGAGATCGCGAGGCTCTTCCGCTTTTTTGACAGATGCGAGCGTCAGTGCTGCGCGACGCCTCGCAGTGCCCATCGAGTGAGGGAGTTTGAGCACTGTTTACGACGTTATTTACGACAACGTATACTCGTTCGCGGTGAGTCTAAACGCGATTACGAAGAACTCGACCTATATATCGACATCTTGCAAATTCTGCGACCATTAGCGAATACCTTCTAAAAAATTTGTTACTTTTACCGAAAAAAGTTGGATTTTGCGAGGACACGAATTAGAAAGTCGGTTTTGAACTCAAAAATTTCTAGAAAGAGTAGAATGTTCTTATTAATTAAGATAAAATAGTATAAGTGCATGGCACTTTATTTTCTGGACAAGTCTCTCTTTAAGGACTATATGCGAGTGTAAAAATGCAATTGTATTTCATAATTTTTATTGACCTACGATGACATTGAATAATTATAACAAATGTTTGAATAAGACGGATAATATTGAATAATTATAACAAATGTTTAAATATATATATATATATATATATATATAAAAGACGGATTCGGCTTATAGGGATAGACTTAATGGTTTCGCATTGAATACGCGTGTGTTAAAAGGCAAACTTAATGCGACCTTGATTTTCTTTATTATGGTCACGCTTACGAGATCACATCTGCTGTGCAGACTATAATCCATTAGACATGCAAAAAGTTATTTGACCCTTTTAAGTCTAATCTACAATGACATAACATAAAGCTATAAGGCTGTATAAGGCGTGGTTGTAAAAATTTATTTAAATAAATTATTTAATATTTCTTATGCTTAACAATCTTACGTAACAGTTATGCAGCACAGTTATACTGTGTTGTTAAGCATAAGAAATGAAAATAATTCATTTAAGCCTTATGTTATGTCATTGTAGACTAGGCTTTAGTTTGTTCGATGCAAACGAAGTTACGTCAAGCTCGCCGAACAAAATATATCCAGCTCCGCGGAAAGCATCATAAAGTATGCGTATCGTAATTGTTTTGTAACGACATGACTGAGCATCAAACGCAGCGAAATTTCGACGGACCGAAAATTTGGCATTAGCCACGTGCACTTAATGCATCAACACTTTAGGTCCGCGTTTATTCTTTGACCGTGAGATCATCGTCGAAACTCGTCATAATTGGTGCAATGCGCAAGTAAATTTATCGTGCGATTATTTATTGACCATTCGAACATTATTTCACGCGATTCTTTAAGAAGAGATGTTATTCCTTGCGTATTTCAAATATCACAAGCCATTAATCTGTCTCGCATGTTTCCTAGGGTTGAAGCAATTCCAACGAGCCACAAAGTGAGTGGGCGAGATTCGCAAGAGACGCAATATCAATTACGGAATTTCCAGGTAGAGGGGCATGTTCATACATTTGAATATCATTTATACACTTTGCTTTAAATATTAAATATTCCTATACTGCTACAAATAATATAATAATACTTATAGTAGCTGTAGCTTTGTGACATTATTAAACTGCCCTCTAAAAGCTTAAATTCTGAAAACTGAATAACTTTCATGCGCATAATTGCGTACGTTTGATTTAAATATCGATCAGCGTTTTTCTTATTTATTTTACTATACCCCTTTACATGATATAATTTTTTTCCGGCGATTTTGAAAATAATGCCGATATGATATTATTAAAGGCGTCTCCTCTTTCAGCGACCCACTGGCACCGCGACACGAGGAAGGATGGTCAATTCGATATTGCTGCTTTGGGCGTTGGTCGGCCTAATTGGCCGAGTGCACGGCAAATGCAGCTTAGCACCGATCGCCGACAACGAGCGGTCGATCGCCTACGCGTGCATCCACAGCGACCTGGGCGACCTCGACGGGCTGTCCGGCGAGACCGAGTGGATCGAGTTCTCGGTGTCGCGCTTCCACGCGATCCCCGACGACGCGTTCCGCCGATTCCCGAATCTACGCCGTCTGCCTTTTACAATTGTCACGTGAGCGTGATCGAGCCCGCGGCATTTCGCGGCCTGCATCGGCTCGACTGGCTCATTTTTCATGGCACGAGGATCCACGCGGTGCGGGCCGCGTGGTTCCGCCATATACCGAATCTCAGGCGACTGATCCTGAACAGGTATCCATCCTCTCTTTCTATTCCACGATTCGAGCTTACAATTCTAAACCTGACAAAATTATGGCAAAAAAATTCAATTCTGTTCGAATAAAAAAAAAATGTGAAGAGAATATACCGGTATTTGAAAATATGAAGGAAAAACTATTTTTTTTTTTTTCGTTTCCGCGGAAGTGTATTGTTTACAAAAGCTAATAACGACGCAGGAGTTATTAATTTTATTATTATTATAGTCAGAAATTATCAATCAGAAATCTTTTTCTTTTTTTTTGTTCATGATAATCGGCGTCATGTTTATGACTCATATTAAATATCGTCAGCTTCGCGTTGTTATATTTATCAAATTCGAGGACATCGATACATCGAGGCCACGTGCAGCGGCTTATGTAAAGCGCCCGTTATACATTCGGTAATGTCGATGACCCAGTTATTCGTTGCACCATTACGACCGTGATATCATCCGGTGGCCGAATATCGGATGATTAGAAACTAATCGCGCGATTAATAAAGATCAAGAATTAAGTTTAGCGCCTGCGTCAAAGAGCCCGCTTCGAATTAAACGTTAACAGAATCTCTCGGAGGCATAATCCCACGTTCTATAAAAACAACATTCCACTTTTTTAAGATTTTGTCGGAATCTTTAATGTCCTTCTCGCCTGATCCTTCAATGATCTTGAATTCCAGAGTTGGAGAAAATTCTAAAACCCTTGAGCTTTTTTAAGTCTCGAGGCCGAATGGAACTTTAGCATCCTTGCATTCCTTTTTCAGTTTTAGAAAACTGGGAAATTCTAAGAATCAGAGTACGTGCTTACGCATGGTGTATAAAGCACGCTCGCGTTTCTTCCTGCAGATGCGGCCTGGTGTACGTCGAGCCCGATGTTTTTCGCATGTTACCGCGAGTGGAGACCCTGGACTTGCGCGACAATGACCTCGATTGTCTGTCGGTGGAGGAGTTGTCCCAGCTGACGGCGCTCAGGACCGTGCGCATCGACGGCAACCCGTGGTTGTGCGACTGTCGGCTGAGAATGGAGAGGTTCTTCCGCGAGAGGAGGATCGTCCAGGAGATAGAGTGCAGGATTCGACCGAGGATCTGCACCGTCCACCGAAATCCGCAGTGCATGACGCAGATTGAAATCCCGCTCCCACCGCCGATGATCACCATCGAGTCGATAAGCAATCTCGAGGTAAAACAGTTACTTACACAAAGGAGGTTTTCTTTTTATCGAGAAACACGATGATAATTCGTGCCAACGTTGTGCAGTGTTCATTCGCGCGAAATACCTCACAAAAAGATCTTACAAAGATAAGAAATGTACGCCAAGTACATTAAGTGTATCCATTAAAAGTTATGCAACGTTAAAGAAATCGTTATTATTGAACTCAATTGTTCAATAATGAAATCAAATTTCAACCAAGTACACGGAAAGAACAATTTTGCTGTAGAATCTAAAGATTTGACCAGTAAAGACGTTTTAGAGACGTGAAAAATAATTTTATTAGACTATAAGTAGATTTAAATATAATAATAATAATATTGTAAAATTTTTCTAATAATGTTCTATATACTTGCTTTGATAGTTCTGAAAATTTTTCAGATCTGTACTTATCCAGCAAAACTTTTCTTTTTGCTGATAAATCTCTCATAAATTTTTTATATTTAGAAAATTATTTAACTATTAGAAACAATAACAAAAAGATAATGCAAATTTCATTTTAATTTTAATTTTTCACAAACTTTTACGTCGCAATCTTATTCGCAAATTTCGCAAATACTCTATATAATTCAATTTTGCTTCAATTCTTCTAATTCGAATCGAATATTAGGAATATAAAATGCAGTGCGTGCAAGAGGTGTCAAAGATAAACATTTATTTCTGAATATATTCGTTTCACACGGACGATCTCGGAGTAAGCCGCATCCAGCATCCGATATACCGACAGTAAGGCAATACGGCTCAAGTCGGGCTGCGTTGTTTTCGAGATATCGCGTTTCAGGGAGCCGAACCGCGCTCTCGGGATAAAGTTGAAACGCTTCGATAATAACATAATCGCGTGTCTAATTATATCGTACAATTTGTCTCGCAAGCGTTTTATCGCTGTGATTTCTATCGCCTAAAAAGCCAGCCTTATCTCGCTCAGATGACACGGGAGAAAGTCGAAATTTAATGCTAACGTTCGCGAATGGTAGCTAATTAAGAATGTAATTGCGCGTCT